CATACGTAGTATAATGATTTTTTTGTTTCTTGCTCTCATTTTTTAAAAAGAAGAAAGGAAAAGAGAGACATTTCCAGTTGTGGAATGAGACTGCTCAAAGTGTGGGGTCAGGATGATGGGGTCTATTCAAAGAAGACTGGTTGTTCAGACATACAGATGACTGAGATGTCACAAACTAGTCCTACTAAAAATAGAACTATGGTGATAGAATGGTGCACAGAAATATGAATTGTTTTCTTACTGTGTTTACCAGATTACTGTTTAAAAGCATCATGTAATAAAGATAAAAGAGTTTGTTTATAGCAACAGTGACTCTTAAAATTTAGCTTTTAAGCCTGGTTTGAGTCAATGCACTTATTTTTAGGACCACGGCAGGTCGAGCCCCTTGCTGTGAGTCTAGCAAAAGTGAATTTAAGTGCATCTTGGAGCTTAGCTCCTTGGTTCTTAGTAAGTGGTGATGGACAGTTTTGAGGTGGTTGTTTACATAATTATTGGATGGGGTGGTGGCATAGCCCTATAATCTCAGCACTCTGGGAGGCTGAGGCAGGAGGATAGCAAATTTGAGCCCACTGTCAGAGACATTTCATTATACAAGAAAGGGCTAAGGATGTAGCTCAGTGTGAAGGCCCTGGGTTCAATTCCCAATCCCCCCAAAAGTATTCATGATATCAGGGCTTGAAAGTGGAAAGAGAAAGACACACACAGACAGACAGACACAGAGAGACTGAAAAGAAAGAGAAAGACACACACACAGACAGACAAAGTCAAATACCAATAATGTTTCATAAATGACTGAAACTATTCACTGTCAGTATATGACAGTGCAAAGGGTAATCCTCTGTAGAATACAGGCTGCTGCTGTTGGAATGTGAGGATGGACAAAGTAGTGTATATAAGAGATCTAGATCCCAAAGCTGGGGTTAAAAGCAGATTCCTCTTCAGAGAACTGTGCAGGTAGCAGGAGATTTTCAGGAAAGTTAGTTTCCACAGAGAAGTGGAGACAGGTGGTCATATAGCAGATCTTCCAGAGGGTGATAGGAGAGAATTACCAGAGAGTGAAGTGCAGTGGTAAGAGCAGAGGAGGAAAGTAGAGTGTGGAGGGTCAGACAAGAGGAAGAGCTGCCTTGGTGTTGCATTTCAAGGATTACTGGCTTTTATGAACTCCTTCCTTTCCCCACACTGGTCTTACTATATCTCTCCCTCATTTGACATACACTCCAGCCCTTCATTAGGCCTCAGTTTCAGTTTCCTTTCTGTTAAGGCTGCATAGGCCCAACTGTCCTTGGCTGTCTTATACAGCTTGTCTTTCCAGGTGTAGCCTGGCAGAGTCTGAGTTTGGATGTATTTTAGAGCCTGTGACCATACTGTCAGGCAGAGGAAAGGGTCACCTTAATTTCCTAGTCTGCAACTTCATCTTGTTTCCATGCTTTCCAGCACCCTCCCCTTTTCCCTAGGAACTTTTTCTCCCCTGAGAATGGCTGCTTTACTTTTTAAAACCCCTTTCCTGTTACCCTAGCTACAGCTGTGCTTTGTAGATGAATTTGACACATTCCTAATAGATGAAGTTCACCTCAGCTTTCTGCCATCAAACTTTTTTCAGTCATTTATTTTCTCCCTTTATTCAGTTTGCTTTGCTGTGTTGGCTTTGGCTGCATTACTCCTGAGGTCCTCTTTACAGAGTTATTTGCAATAGATTTATTATTGATTCTGAAAGGCAACAAAATGGGTGCTACTTCCTCTCAGCTCTGCCTAATCTTTCCCAAGAGCCTGGCTTCCCCAATCACTTTCAAGTCAGGGTAATATGCCTTTTCTGTATGTTTTCAGGCTGCTCTGTACCTTCCTATTGAGCAGTTTATAAGCAGTAGGGCAAAAGACTGCTTTTTATTATTTTTGCATGTATTGTAGGTTTAGTAAGGATAGAAGTTATGCATGCTTCATTCTCTGTAGTATTCCTAGCACCTAGCATAGTTTGCAGCATGCCATGAACAAGTACTGATTGCAGGAACAAACAAATGAAGGAAGCAGTAATGACCACTTGAAGTATTGAATATGGATAAGTTGAAGGCTTGACCAAAAAAAAAAGGTCCTGAATTTGTATTCCCTAGCAGTTCATTTGTAATAGTGTGTAGTAGGATAGCTATTAAGTAAATTATCAAGTAAAAATTGGATAAATGACTTGGCCACCGCAAGGTATTGGGAGGGAGAACAAAAATCAGGTTTATCAGATTCTAGATTTAACAAAGTCTACTTGTAACTACCTTAGATTTAGCAAAATGAACATACCTTGTGAATATACTTTTTGTTTTTTGTTTTGGGGGGTCTCACTGTGTTTGTAGGCTGATCTTGAACTCTTGGGCTCAAGTGATCCTTCTACCACAGTTTGCTGAGTAGCTGGAACTAGCTACAGCATGTACCAACTCATCAGGCCAGATGACATTTTCGTGTGCTCACAGAGGTCAAAGATAGGTGCCCATTGCCAGTTCCAGCATATAGAATCGCATCTAGGTTATATATCATGCAACCTAATATAATCTCAGTCATTAGTTGTATCTAATGAGACATTTTAAGCTTTCCAGTCTTCAGTGTTCTCATATATACATCTTTTTTGGTTGAAGAAACACAGGTAGAAATAACATTAAAGAACTGTGAAGAGCCCAGGTGTGGTGGCACACACACCACAGCTGGGGAGGCTGAGGCAGGAGGATGGGAAGCTCAAATCCAGCCTCGGCAGTTTAGGAACTTAGCAAGAGCTGGTCTCAAAATTTTAAAAAAATAGGGATGTATGTAGCTTTGTGCAAAAACCCTGTGTTTACTCTTTAGTACTCCCTGCCCCCCCCATGAATTGCAAAGAACTGCAACTTCATTTTGGTTATTACTTTTTAATAGCCTTATCCAGCATCTACATGTTTGATTGTGTTTATATATGATACTTACGTGTATATCATCCCATGTTTCTACCTAGCATTATTGTAAATATCTTTAAGTATCACATTTGCTTATTTAAAAGTTTTTCCTATTGCAAATTCTTGGGGTTGGTTGAAAGTTAAAGCAGGTAAAAATAATGAAGTTTGCTTTGAGATGACTGCGTATACCTTTCTGAAAGCATTCCACTGAGAGTTGAAAGAAGTGTGAAAGTACAAGATTTCCAGGGACACTGAAACATTGAAAAGTGGGGAAAGGGAATTATGTGTATAAAATGTTATTTTTCTTTGTATTGGTTTAATTTACATAAAATGATGTGAAGTTTTTAAATATGGAGTAGTTTTGTGTTTTGTGGTTTTTTTTTTTTTTTTTTTTTGTGGAACTGGGGATTGAACTCAGGGCCTTGCGCTTGCCAGGGAAGCGCTTACTCCACTGAGCCATCTCCCTGGCCCTCTGGAGTAGTTTTGTATCAAATGATAGTACATTTAAATGTAAATCCCTTTAAAAAGTAAATGAAAATTCATACCCATTGCAATTCTGTTTATTCCATGCTAATTTTTAGGCATTTAAAAAGTTTTGTTTTTAAATTAAAAAAATTAAGAACTGGACACCTAGGCTGTAGCAGGGGAGCACAGCTACTTGTATACCTTTGCTGAGGGATGATGGTCTTATCAGGAGTGTCCTCTTCAACCAAGTATACAGCTTTGGGAGGGATGCACATGGAGCAGTGAGGGAGGACAGGGACACCCACCTAGCCAGTCAGATCAGCCAAATCAAATTTGGCAGTCAGTGGGGTGACAGATGTTGAAGCCAGATCACTCTCACATCGTGGACACAGACTGAGTTATTTTAACTCTAGCTGGAGTTATTTTTGGAGCATGGACTTTGATATTATATCATAAGCTTTTATCGAGAGAGGTCTATGAAGTTTGTGCTTCCTCTGATAATGGAGAACATGTTTATTGCATCATATACAGTAATCACACTTCATGAAGATCCTGGTGAAAAAATTTTGTGTCTCAGTGCCACAAACATTTGTGCTTCTCCAGAATATGTGGTTTGTTTATGTCTAATGAGAATAGTCAACAGTGTGCAGGTTATGTATGTTTCAGTACCTCAGAGCCAAAATTGTGATCTTCCCTCTAATGTTCCCTTTTAGATGTAGTTTGGGCCCACACTTTGCCAAAGTTGAATTCCTTTACCCTCCCTCCCTCCCTCCCTCCCTCCTTCCCTCCTTCCCTCCCTTCCTCCCTTCCTCCCTTTCTGAGATAGGGTCTTACTGTGCTGTTGAGGCTGACCTTGAGCTCCCTTTGTGGCCCAGGCAGGCCTCTCATAGTGATTCTCCTATCTCAGCCTCCCAAATGCTAGGATTGCAGGGTTGTGGCACCACGCCTGGCTGGATTGCTTTAGAGACAGGTTTTCTTTTATAAACCATCACAATATCAACGTGGTATTAGTGATTACTTTTATCGTACCTGTACTTTTGAGCTTTTGTGTTTTATATTTTGTTTCTATTAACCTGGGTTCGATCCCTGGTACTGCATGCCACGCTGGTCGCACACTGTGCTGGCCACTAAAATAGGGTGTGGTGGCGCAGGCCTGTAATCACAGCTGTGGGGAAGCTGAGACAGGAGGATCACTACGAGTCAAAGCTGCATAGCAAGACCCTGTTACCACTCCCTTCTCCCCCCCCCAAAAAAAAAAAAGTGATAAAGAGCAGAAAACTACCTTGTTGGTCTCTAATTAGTTACAAAGGTCATTTTAAAGCAGTCTAGAGTAGAATCCAAGAAGCATTACATAATGAATGTTACAGTTTGTATATGTATTTAGAGATATTTAATACTTAAAATTTTTTCTTGGAAGGAACAAGAATAAGCTGATTAAGAAAAATTCAAACCCCCCCAAAAAAAGAATAAGCTGATTGATATGAGAAGCAGTTTTGCTATGGCAGTTATTCTATTTATTTCATAATTATTCTGTTTTTGTGATTAAGCTTGGATAAGAAATCTGTTAATGAGTTGTTTGTGCTGTGTGTAAGAAGTTAAACTGTAGTGCTTACTTTTACTCCCTTCTCTCAGGTCATTTGGACCCCGGATTCTTAACAAGTGACAAAGCATCTACTGGCAATGCACCACTTAATGAAGAAATTAATATTGCCTCTTCAGATAGTGAAGTAGAGATTGTGGGTGTGCAGGAACATGCAAGGTAGGCTATTAATTGGAGTATTGTATTCTGATATTTTAAATTGTGAATTTCATATTAACTAGAAAACAAGCGATAAGAAGATGATAAACCTCATGCTATGGCTGGCCTGAAAGGTGAGGTCGTCTCTCAGTTTTCTTTGGGTTCCAAAATACTTTGTTGGGCTATGTAGGAGCCTTTCTCATATTAAGCACATTTCAATTATGCATTTATATGAACTACAGCTGATTCTTTTCTCTTTTAAGAAAATATATAGAGGGGCTGGGGAGATGGTAGAATAGGGTCTGAGTTCAATCCCCAGTTCTGGGGGAAAAAAAAGTGTTATACACGCACACACATGTCTACCTACCTACCTACATACTGATTATTTTCTTTAAGGTACAGGTACCCTCTGTGCGCTCCCACTTTCTCAGCCCTATTTTCTTGCCTTTCACTTCACCTTGAAATATATTGGGAATTGGGAACATGTACTTGTGTTGTTCCTCTTCAGCTAGTTCAGGGAAAGAGTCATAAGATGTCAAATTAGTGTATAGTATTATGAAAATAATTTTATGATGGTTTTGCCAGGCTGTGAGGTGTAGGGTTCAGCAAACAGTGGCCCACAGATTACACTTGGTCTGGCTCTTGGTTTTTCAGGGACTACGCTAAGAATGGTTTTCACATTTTAAAAATATAATTGGGTATATTTTATATATTGGATATAATTTATGTATTTTTATATAGCTGGAAAACACTCTGATATAAAAAATATGAAACAAATTTTATTGTCTATAAGTAAAGTTATTCTAACAGCTATGCTAATTCATTTTATTTATTATCTATGACTATTTTTACACTCCAAGGTAGAACTGAATTCTTTTAATAGATGTTTTACTCTTTGGTTCTTCGCTGAAAAAATTTGCTGACTCCCTCTTTAAGGTGTGTCCATGAGAATCATATATAGCCATCTCACAGAAACATATACATGTGTCTACAAAAGCAAAATTTAGACATTAGAATATATGTATCCTGTATAGAAAACAACTTTTCTCCTACACTCAAAGGGCTAAGTTATGATTCTTTTTTTTTTTTCAAAATCAGGAGCCTTTATTTATACATGAGTGATTCCATAAGCTTTTTTCATGCAAAATTAACAGATGTGGTTTTCATCTGGGCTAGGACTGGGTCTAGGGGTTCCTGGAACATGGCAGAAATTGTTATGATTCTGATAAATATGCATATAACAATATTTTCCATTAACATCCTTTTTTATTTAAGTTTGCTCTGGTCAGCCAGCTATTAAGACATTTACCAGCATTTCTTTCATTACTTATATAAAGGTAAGGTGAGTTTAGCACTATAGAATTGGGATGAAGTACACTCTGTCTCTGTCTCTTTGACTCTCTGTGTCTCTGTCTCTGCCTCTTTCTCTCTCTGTCTTTGTCTATCTGTCTGTCTCTCGCTTGTTCACTCATCAGTGTTGTTGTTTTGAGATAGAGGCTGACTGTGTTGCCCAGTTTCTCTTAAACTTACAGATGTTAGCAGGCCATCTTCAGCCTCAGGTAGGACCAGGGATTACAGGTGTGCGCCACCAAGCTCCCCTGGAAGTTATTTTTTTCTGGTGAGATCTGATTGTACTTCCTGAAAGCAATTTCTAATTGAACAGGTGGAGCTTTAAGACTATAGGATAAAAGGGCAGGCAAGATAGCTCAGTGGACTAAGCAGCTGCTTAGGCAAGCACAGGGACTTGTGTTCTATCCCTGGCACCACATACTGTGCCAGCCTCACCCCTGGGCATGCTCAGCCAGCCAGCCAGTGAGACCAGGACCGGGCATGGGGGCACACACTTGTAATCCCAGTGCTGGGGAGGCTGAAAATAGGATCACTGTGAGTTGGAGCTGAGTAGTAAGACCCTGTACCAAATACATTTAAAAAGAAAGAAAGAAAGAAAAAAGAATGTAGAGTTAATTGTATGTATCCTCACAAGAGTGGCCAGTTCTGTTTATTGGAACTCAGATTGTCCTAACACTTCATTCTCTATATTTGTGCTAAAAGTATGCCAGTATAGCTGCTTTCTATTTTCCATTTTCACTCTTCATGGTTATTTTTTTCTGTTATGGTTGCAAGATTTTTCATTCTGAAATCTTTATCTCACCCTCCTACTCCAAAGTAAAAAAAAATTCCTGTTAAAAGCCCCTCTGTTTTGTCCTGTTCTCCTTAAGCTGACCTATCCATTGGATGAGAAATACAGAACTAGGATTTCTTCCTGTATTTCAGCGTGTATTTACCATTAGTTTATCTCTTTTTACACCCCATGTCAGGATCATGCTGGAATATTTTTTTTTTTTTTTAAATTTCAGGCTCTCTAATACCTTAGTGATCACTTTATCTAGATAAATTATTTTTACTCATGCCTGGAACAGAGTTTTCATTCACAGTTGCTCCTGAGTTACGTTTCAGGTTTCTTCAGGGGTGTGGGAGTTCCAAGAATCAAACTTGTGTTTGCCAGCCAAACGCTGTGCAATTGAATTATATCTCTGGCTCTCTGAGTTACATTTCAATTTTTTAAAAATGTGTCTTATGCAAGGTCTCACTATGCACCTTGGACTTGTAGTGATCCTCCTGTTTTCAGGCCTCCCAGCTACAGGTGCATGCTACCACTCCCAGACTTGGTTGCTGGCTCAGTGCACCATGGGGTGGGGCCGGCACGGCATGTGATGTCAGGAATCAGAACCCCAGTCTCTGCGCTTACCTAAGGAGGCACTTAGTCCACAGAGCTATCTCACTGGCCCTTCAAATTTTAATTTATTGTGCTCATCTTATGAAAATAGGAAAGTGTAGATAGTAATTTACTTTATCTGATCTCTTACACTGTGTAAGATATTTATTCCAGTTTTCTAAATCTGTCTACTTTATTATTTCAGTATGGCTAGAAATGGTATAGCCACTCTTCTATTTAGCTTCTTTGTTCAATTTTTCTTCCATCATTAAGATTTTAGCTTCCCTTATCTTTTATCTCGTTATCATTTTTGATAGACATATTTGTTTCATTTGCACTAAGTCAGGTGACTGGCTATATTTTAGATAATATGTCATAATTTTCAAGGACTTTTCTTACAGGCTTTGAAGCATAAAAGCAGTGCTTTATTCTGATCCATTGTGTGTGCATGCACATGTGTATGTGTGTAAGACAGTCTCACGGGGCTGGTGAATTGGCTCAGTGGTCTAAAGCACCTACTTAGAACAAGCTTAGCAAAGCACAGGGACCGCGGTTCAATCCCCCAGCACCACATGCCAGCCAGCCCGCCTTCTGGTGGGCTGAACTGGCCACACACACACACACACACACACACACACAAAGCTTAAGAAAAGACAGAGTCTCACTATCCATATCAGGCCTCTGCAATACTCCAGCCTCAGCCTCCCAAGTGCTGGGCTAAGACATATATCTTGTAGATGATAAATCCATTTGAACTTTCAATGTTCTTTAGTATTGTCATACCGTGGAATGTAGAATTTATAGATGCTGTTGGAGTATTTGAAATTATATCCTATATCATTTGAGGTTATCTTTTATATTGGGCTTTGGTCTAGGATTGAATAATCTCACTGGCTTTGTTCTGTTTTCATAAAAAGTTTTCAATAGTATATTTAAAAGTAGTCTGATAGTCTTTCACATTGAGATTTAAACTAGGAAGCTGGTCTGAAAGAAACTTTCTTACTGGTTGTTTCAGAATGGTCCCTTTGGCTGCATGTTTTTCATGTGGCATTTACTTTTATAGGTGTAGGGCTGCCATCATGAAGTATTGATTGCTTCTAGCAGGGCTATCAGATGCCAAAACGTTTTTAGGTTTTGATCTACATCTTTTGTTCTGATTTTGGTTGCATGTATAGGTGTTTTGTTTAGATCTAGTTGTCCTGTTCTTTTTTGTACTGTCCTTATTTTATCTTTTCGTATTTTACTTGTTTGGGGCTGAGAGTTTTAAAAACTCTACATTTGCTCTTGAGTTACCCTGTTTGAGATTGTTTTGTTCTGATTAAAAGCTAAAACTCTTCTTTGAAAGCCTTTTGTTTAACCTTTGAACTAAAAATTCTAGTTGTATGTGAGATGTCATGGTGCATACCTGTAATCCCAACACGCAGGAGACTGAGGTAGGAAGAATGTAGGGAATTGAAGGCCAGCTTATGCTACACAGCGAGACCATCAGTGGTAATGTGATCACTTCCTTTGATAAAGTTATTTTTCTTACATGTGAATATCTTTCCCTATTTTATTTTGGATTTTGTTTGTTCACATAGCTTCTGTGCTTATGCTTCTAATCATAGATTAGAAAGCTTGCTTGCTTGCTTTATTTTTGTTTGTTTTGTTTTTTTTTTTGAGACAGGGTCTTGCTATGCAGCCCAGGCTGGCCTCAGGCTTATGTCAGGGCTGGGGTTTCAGGCATTTACTGCCATGCCCAGCTTGAAGGCATACATTCGGAACTAATGGTTGGATGCATCTTTTATGGCTGCTTTGTATTGTTGTGGTGAGCTTATCTGTTAGCATTTGCAAATGTTAATTTTTGGATAGTTCAACTATCATATTTGTTGATAGGAAGATGGAGACTTTCCCAACATCTCTAGTTCTTCTGTGTCCACTTAATTTTGCCATAAGTCTGTGACCCTTTATACCAATATTTTTCTTTGTCCTTTTGTTTTCCTATCCCCGCTGGAAATTTTCGTAGGAAGATGTATTTATATAGTGCAGATCTTTTTAACCATGGAACTATGTTGGAACAGTTCTTATAATACTTACTGAGGGTTTTTTTTTAATTTATTTATTTTATTTATTTGTGTGTGTGTGTGTGTGTGTGTGTGTGTGGCCAGCTCAGCCCACCAGGGAGCGGGGCTGGCTGGCATGTGGTGCTGGGGGATTGAACTGCGGTCTATGTGCTTTGCTAAGCTTGTTCTAAGTAGGTGCTTTAGACCACTGAGCCATCTCACCAGCCCCATGAGGGTTTTTTTTTTTAATAATTAGGTGGCTCAACTTAGATTCTATCTGCCTGCCTTTCTTTTCTTTTCTCTCTCCTTCCTTCCTTCCTTCCTTCCTTCCTTCCTTCCTTCCTTCCTTCCTTCCTCTGATCAGGGTCTTGCTACGCAGCTCAGACTTTTAGTGATGCTCTTGTCTCAGCCTCCTCAGCACTGGCATTACAGGTGTGTACCACCATGCCTGGGGTTCTGGGGCCAGCACAGCATGTAATACCAGGAATCAAATTTGGGTCCTTGCACTTGTCAGCAGGCAGTTAGACTGCTGAGCTATCTCCCCAGCCCCATAACAATTTTTTTTTTTGTTTTTGTTTTTGTTTTTTTCCCTTGGTACCAGGAATTGAGCTGAGGGCCTTGCACTTGCTATTAGATATTTAAGGCACTGAGCTATCTCCCTGGACTTCAATTATCTTTTTTTTTTTTTTTTTTTTGCGGTACCAGGGATTGAACCCCAGACCTTTCACTTGCCAAGCAGGCACTTATGGCACTGAGCTGTATCCCTGGCCCTGACTCAGATTAATCTATTAATAGCATGATCATTTGTTAATTTTGGTTCATTCCTCAGCAAATGAATTGATACAGAAGCTTTTGTATTTAAATTTAAGACTGATTACTTCATTGAATCATTTGTCAACATTAACACAAAAAGCTAGGCAGGGAGACAAGCATTTCCCTACAGTTACAGGGATTCATTCCATTTTCTGTTAGGAAAAATAAGTAGGAATGATACCAAAGAAGTGTCACCTCCAGGCTCTGTGAATGAGAGTTAAAAGATTAATTTATGTTGTTTTCTTAGAAAAGTAAGAGGGGGCCAGGGAGATGGCTCAGTGAAATAAGCGCTTCCCTGGCAAATGTAAGGGTCTGAGTTCAATCCTCAGTTCCACCAAAAAAAAAAAAAAAAAGAAAAGTAAGAAAATTGACTATCATTGGCAGCTAATTAGAGTCAGGAAAGCTTTGGACCAGAGATAGGATCATCATATGCTCCAGAAAATCTAAAATTATGAAGAGAAACAGACTGAAGTGATAGAGGCTCGTTGTCATTGTTAGGTTCTTTTAGGTGCTTCAGCGTCCTAATATGTTTTTTTTTGTTGTTGTTGTTTTTTTTTTTTTTTTTTTTTGCTTAAAGTACCCTAAATTGTTTCTAGTAACTGGAACCACTACACTAAAGTAAGTATAGTATTGATTTATAGTTGGAGTGCCTCATCTCCTTATTCTTCTGTACCTTAGTAGCAATACAGTCTCTAAGCCTCTCATTTCTAGTCCTTTTCCTGCACCAAACACTTTCAAGAATCTACTTTGGTGTTTCTCACATGCTCTCTGGTGCAGGCAGTGTCCCATACATGGTGTGGTGCTTCAGCTGTGGTTTGAGAAAGGCTTGGTTGCACAATACAAAATATTGTGCAGGGTCTCCAGCCCTGAATGGAGATGAGATTTTGTTGTGCTTCAATGCTTTACTTGCTTAAGACAATTAGGCAGTAGTCTTTTGGTCTTGATTTTTGTCTTTTGTAAAGTAAACAGGTTAGATTAGATCCATTTTTAAATCACTGTCTGTTATCACATAGTGTGTTATTTAGCAAGCAGTTCAGAGTAACAACTGAGGCTATGCTCCTTTTCAGAGATATATTTCTAGAAATTCTGCCAAAGACATTTGACTGTCTTTGTGGAAATTTATTTCTTGAATTCTTTGTAAGTTTCTAGCCAGCTTTACTTCAGTTAGTGCTTATGAAGTTGAGCTTTTCCCAGTTTTTAGTTTTCATTAGTGTGTTTGCAGTGCATGCTGACATTCCTCATGGGGAATAACCTCGAGGATTATGTACTATGCAGTGTGCATAACACATAACATGTCACCTCTGCCTCCCTACTCCCTCCATCTCTTGGCCATTCTCTCTTTTGTTTTTTAAAATAATTTCATTAGTACACTTTTGTTTGTTTGTTTGAGATAGGTTCTCACTATATAGCTTAGGCTGTCCTTGAACTCAGTACATAGCCCAGGTTCGCCTTGAACTTAGAGTGATTCTCCTGTCTGTCTCAGCAATGTACTTGATATTCATAATGATCACATTCAGCATAAGGAGTTTGTACAGGCACATCAAATATCTTATTCTTTTTTCCCCATTTCCTTCCTCTTCCTTCAACCTTTCTTCCCCTCCTTATTTACAAATACTTTGTTTCTATATCTTCCTCCATTTTGCAAAAGGTCTATCTCCCCTTTCTCTGTTATCTTTCTTTTACTTTGCTCTTTGTTTATATATCTTGGGTAAAGGCATCATATTACAGTGTATGTATATACCTATGTTTATAGAAGTGCAGTTGGTAATAACTAAATCTTGGAAACAGTCTGTATGTCTGTGAACAGATGAATGGAAAAAGAAAATATGGTATTTGTATACAATGAAGTACTACTCTGACATAAAGAAGGGTAAATTTGAGTCATTTGTAGGAAAATGGATGTATCTTGAGACCATCATATTAAACAGATTAGCTTTTTTTCCCAAAAAAAATTTTTGTTTATTTATTTGTTTGGTATAGGGTTTTGCTCTGCAGCTCAGGCTTGTAGTGATCTTCCTGTCTCAGCTTCCCCAGTGCTGGGATTACAGGTGTGTGCTACCATGCCTGCTTTCACTGAATGGCTCAGCATGGGGCCAGCATGGCATGTGGTACCAGGGATTGAACCTAGGCCCTTGTGCTTTTGAGGCAAGCACTTAGACCACTGAGCTATCTTCCCAGCCCCAGCTTTTGTTTTTTGAGATAGGGTGCTATTATGTAGTTCAGGTTGGCCTTGAACTTGTGGTAATCCTCTTGCCTCAGCCTCCTGAGTGCTGGGATTATAGACAGATACCACCACACCTGACTAACATTGTTTTTTCTGTCCCTTATTTTAATGCTTTCCATAAGCTGATCTTCCGAAAATGTAACAGCCTGTGGGTTAGTGCTACTTAGCCCATTTATGAGCAGATGGCAGACCTCTGACAGTATAAGAAACCTGCATATTTTCTTTCTCTGGCCCCAAGAGATTCATTTTTTTTTTTTAAGCATTCTCTTTATAGTTTTGAAGCTAGCCTTTGAAGAGGCATGACGTCTTTCCAGGAACAGAGTGTAAGGCTCCTTGGGGTAGTTTTATTTTTGGTCCTGAACTCACTTGTGTAACTCAGACTGGCCTCAACTCACAGAAGTCCTCCTGCCTCAGCCTCCCATTTGCTGAGGTTCCCTGAGCAGTTTTATCACTGAAGTCTTAATGCTTATTTATTTACTTAGTCTTTCTTGAGACAGGGTCTCAGTAAGCAGCTCAGGTTGGTCTTGAACTCACGTAGCCCAGGCTGGCTTTGAACTCTAGCAATCCTTCTGCCTCAACCTCCTGAATGCTGGGAGTGCAGGCATGTGTTACCACACCTGACTCGTTTGAAGTTTGGTGATACAGGTGACATAAAATCAAAGCTGAAATTTTCAAGTCACTGGCACTACTCATTGTATACACGTGATCAGGACAGCTGCTTGGAAGCCCCTGTGTCAGTTTATGTGATGAAAGTCATGCCATTCATTGTTTGTCATATAAGCAATATAGTTCTTACAGACTTTTGGAAATCTAATCTGGGAATTTATATTGCTATCACTTTCTTTAAAGATATTACCCAAATATATTACAAAACTTACTTTAAAAACAAATTTCACCCATTTTTCTTAGTTTTCATTTGTTGCAACTAACATTCTTTGGGCATCTTAATTTTGCTATGAAATTTTATTTGCCCTGTTGTGGTGATCCCAGGGATTTAAATGAATCCACAAAGCTGTTATCTTGTTTGTAACTGACCTGGACACAGTTCAGGTACTTTGGTAGGGATCCTTAAAGAAGGGGCAGTTAAGATAATGATACAAAATAGAGGTGACAGGGAGGACATGGACAAAGGAGAAGGATATTGATTGTATATTTCATGAATTTGCATAGTAGGCTTATTATTAAAAATATTCTCAGTATAGCTGAAGTCCTATTGTCTTTTCTGTTTTTCCTATGGTGGGATTAACCCAGCTGTTATGCTTCATGTCAACTGCAGGTGTGTTCATCCTCGAGGGGGTGTGATTCAGAGCGTTTCTTCGTGGAAGCATGGCTCCAGCACACAGTATGTTAGCACCCGGCAAACTCAGTCATGGACTACTGTGACTCCCCAGCAGACTTGGGCCTCACCAGCAGAAGTTGTTGACCTCACCTTGGATGAGGACAGCAGGCGTAAATACCTACTGTAGTACAATGTCACTGTGTCCTCTGCACTGTTCCCTTCCACTTCCTCCTTTTCTTTGTGACACGGAAGTTCATTGTCATAGCTTCAGCCTCTGAAGTTCTTTGTGGCATTTATAAAATTAAAACTCATGGAAACTCCCCTCTTTTTTTTTAATTAAAAAAGTCACTTAGGAAAGTAACATCACAGAAAAAAGCAATTTCTTTCTGTAGGAATATGAGAATAATTACTTCGTGACTTTTGATCTTAGGAAAGTCACCTTTCTTTTAGAATACTATTTTAACTACCAAGTACAGTGGATTTTCAGTTTTTGAATCTTGTATTTATTTTTCTGTGTAATGAAATTAATGTCTAGACTTGACCACTATTTGCCCACCTCATTGTCACTCCCACCGTGGGGCATTTGCACACATATCAGCCAGGTCCTCAGTGGTGCCTGGTAGGGCATGTATATTTAAAAACATTTCTTTAAAAATAGAAGACAAAAATACTACAAGTATTGTTTTCTTTTAGCTTGAATCTTCTGCCTTCCTTCTGGACTTTGCTCCTGGTCAACTTCCCACACCACCAATAACTGACATGCCCTTTATGTTTAAAAATACTACTAAGTGACTTACTTGGTTTCCTTGTTGCAATAATTTTTAACTCTGCGAAATGTTTTCTTTGGAGCAGAAGCATTTAGAATAGATACCTACCGTGAAGTTTTCTGAGCATCTGAAGTGAGTTCTGAAAGATAAGTGGAAAAATCTCTTTTCCTTAGCTTTTTCCCCAAGAGAGCATTAAAACCTCTTACTTAGGAAGCATATGAAAAGTGATTTTGAATTATAAAGGCACTTGGAAATTTGAGAGGAAAGTGCCTTCTTCATAGTTGGTCTCTCTGAAAAGAGTGTGTATAACTGCTACGTAATGCCCCAGCTGAACTGGACCTGAGCTGTGTTTAGTTTTTGTTTTTGTTTTTTTTTTCCTTCTTCTGTACCTTCTGAAAAGTAAGTCTAAATATTCCATAAGATTTCAGGTGCAGAGCACATTAATAATACTGTAAATCTTACAGTTTCTAAAAGGATAGCAAATGATAGTAGAAACTTCAAGAAATTCAGAAAACGCCAGCATTGGAGTTTTGTGGTATTAGTTCCTGTCTTTTTTATTATAGTTTATAGCTACTAGTGAATTATTTTAAAAGCAATATCTAGAGTAGAACACTATGTATTGTAACACAGGGAGGAGTGAAATAATATTGGCTCAGAAGACTTCACCTTTTGTGGATTTTGTTTTGTTTGCTTTTTTTGTTTGTGTCTCTTTTTGTTTCCACTGTTACCAAATGATGTTGCTGTGACCCTTTATCTTCCTCCCCAATGCCTTGGTGACACTCTCTGGTCCTAAAAGCATGAAAACTACCGTTTTCAGTTTCCATTCAGTAAACACACACTTACCCCGTGCTTGCTGTGCATCAAGCACTCTGGAGGGCGGGTACTGTGGAGGCCTCCAAGCTGAATGAGACACAGCCTGCATGCGCATGCATCAGTCTACCTGGCTCCACCTGCCTGGCCTTTTCTTCTTTTTGCGTATGTGTGTAAAGACAATTGATTCCTTTACCCTACTTGTTGCTTTAGTTCTTCTGTATGCTCCTTTTACAGGGATGTATTTGAGCATGTGTTCTTTGAATTTCTCTGATAGCATCTCATTTGATCTGGCCTCTGTTCTCACAGACTTTTTATTTTTTTCTTCCAGTCCATTTTTAATTGATCAGGTTAATAAGATCATGAACTTTCAGTTTCAGAACCTTGTGTATCACATTCTGTCACTCACATGGCCACAATCCTAGACAAAAACCAAAGACCCAAAGGCCAGAACAAAACAGGACCTCCCGAAGACTCACTGCTGGTGTATTCTTGGACCTTCACGTTTTACTTTAGAATTAATTTATTGAATTTTACTGTTACACATTTTTTAAAAAACTTGAAGTAAAGTACTAGACAAAACAGAAATATGTAATTTCTGGTCTGTTTTCCAGGAAAATCATTGGGAAGAGAATAGATGGAGTATATGACTTGAAGTTTTTACAATCTCCCCCATCCCCAGCATCAGGGCACAGTCTTATTTTAAAGAATCATTTTGTATTACCTATTTTAATATTAATGGTATGTTTTGTCATACAGCAGGTGATTTCCTATGACATATTTTCTTTAGTTCCTAACAGTCATCTGCTAAAGAGAGAACTGGTTTGAATTGCTGTGTACACTGTAGATGGGGACAGAGTGGAGTTAAAACCAAACCCTTTTCTGGCCTCTTGCCTTTATATTAGGTTACATTTTTTGCTTCACTTGTTCCTTTTCTAACTCCCTGGCCAGCTGATTTGGTGCACCAGAGCAGAAGTTTAGGCATTAAAGCCTAAACATTTAGGCAAAAAAGAAAAGGGAAGAGATGCCAGTGACACTCAGCTCTCTTTCCTACCTACCTACTGGGTTGGGACTTTAACCTAAAAAGTAATTAGAGTGACTTTCAACTCTTCTTTCCTTGCTATGTGCAGATGAGGTTTCAGGCACAGTTTGGATGGTAACATTCTGTGATCCCATGCCTTTTGGAGTTTCTTTTAAAGGGATTGTTTTCTTAACCAAATTTTCCCATTGGGTAGCATAAGTAGTTCTTCATGCCTCATAAGACATTATTCAGAGTACTATCTCTGTTAAAGTGGAATAAAAAGTGGGGTCATTGATTGCTTTATGCCACAACTTGTGTCCCTCTCCTGCAATTTGAAAAAGCGGAGCAGCAATCTAGTTGTTGGTTCTTCATGACTGCACTGTAACTTATAACTGTGGCTCAGCAATAGTGTTTCATTTGGATGGTAGGGGCCAGACTGGGTGGACTCCATTATTTACAATCAGGTATCCTATAAACTCTGCTTTTGTTGTCAGTTGTGAATAGGAACTGTCTGATTTGCTACTTTAGTCACTTGTTCATATTTACTTTTAACAGATTAACACCAAGGTAACTTAAAATAAATTTGTCTCCTGCTTTTTTATACTGTGTTATAAGGTTTTTGAGAAAGCTAGAGACAGTTTTGTCTTCTGGTTTTAAGCCCCTCCCCCTTTTTTAAGGCAAATAGCTGAGCCCCTAATCCTTGTTCTCCAGTATGTGTATGATGTGACTTCCATGTATATATAAGAATGGTTGCACCCTAACCAAACTTCCTCAGATTGTGCACTGTTTGTTTAAAATAATCACATATTTTAGTCCAATGCTGTTGTATTTTTTCATTTTATTTAAAACACTACTTATTCTTTTAACAAATTTTAAAGGGTAGTGATCTTTTAAAAAAAATCACTGGATAACTAGGAATTTTTTGTTATTGTTTTGTGTTTTAAAAGAGTAGAAAGGTCATTGAGCCTTTTGCTTTTCTTACCACGAACATAGAATGTCAGCCATTGTGTGGCTAGGAACCGATGCACTTGGCGGGCCACAGACCTGCTGTTGCTGGGGTGTGAGTGTGGGCTTGATGCAGTGACGACAAATCATTGCGTAGAAGTAATGTTTCCAGACGTGCAACTCTAGTTTTTAAAATGAAATTTGGTTCTTTACATTCATTACTTAGTTTTTGTTTCCATTTAGTATTTAATGGTCTTTGGAGAAAAAAATAATAAAACAGAGTGTTATATATATATTTTTTGGTGCAAGATAAGATTTTCTGTTTTTTGAAATAAGTCTGTAGCATAAAGGTTAAACTATTTTAAGACAAAATAAAATAGAGTGTATTTAAACAATAATATTTTCTGAGAATTTTTTTAACTGTCTGCTTCAGTTAATTAGGTGATGCCCAGAGCAGCTCCCAGGATATGTTTGGATGTGAAAGTGGATTATATTTTGTTGATGGATTGTTATAAGATACCTGATTTATTCCAAATGATAGCTGAATTCTACTTCCAAGATGTTTGGCCCAGTAGCCTGTGATGTATCAGATATAGATTAAAAATAGCTGTACATTAGCTTCTCTGTAGCCCCTGTTTCCCTCTCTAGTTAGGACCAGTGCAAGAGCTCAGAGAGTGCTAAAGGCTTCTTGTTGTTCAGCACCTCTGCTCCTGGGAACGAAACTTGTTGTTAGGGTTAAGGTGCTGCAGCTGCACTGAAGCAAGTGTAGATTATGTAGGTGCTTTAAAAGTAGCATTAGGATCTATCTCCCTAATTTGAGTCTACTTCTCAGATTTTTTAAAATGTGGTTATCAATATCTCATGATTTACAACTTCGCAAGAAGGAGAATGGGTGAAACCCATCTTTACTAATATGTCCAACTCCTGAATCTCAGTTTTCCTTGGGAATTTTTACTTCTGCCTGTGCTAGAAAGAGATCTGTTAATAACTAGGAAATACCTTATCAACAAGTAGGAAATGTTTTCAATTCTTGTGTTTCTGTTTTTGGCAGTTAGGGATTAAACTCAGGGTCTTGCACATTCTAGACAAGTGCTCTACCACTGAGCTATCTCCCAAGCTCCAGTTTTCATTTTTAAAAAATATTTGTATGCTAACTTATATTTGAGACCTAGACATTTTAATCCCTGTGGAAATTCCTATGATCCTAGAAAAATTACCTAGAACTGTACTTTTGAATCCTTTTGCCATTGAATGCTGCCTTTGAAGAACAGGCACAAGTCAAAGCCTTTCAAGTTCCTCATTATTCTTTAATCTCGTTTGGGCTTCTTCCTTATATTTGCTGTCTTTAGACCTTCCCTTCCTTTATAAGTTTATTTTTCACAGTAGATGCCAGCTATTTATAATTTCAATCTAAAAAGAAAGTTTGTAGATAAATCTTTATTAAATATATACATATGGTTTCAGCTTCAGTTTTGCAACCAAAGCAAGATGATGTATTCTGGGTTTGAATCTCCTTACTGTTCTGTGGAGGAGTAGTCCCCAGATCACTGGCAGCTGTGGAAACTTCTATGATCCTAGCAGAAAATTACCTAGAACTATACTTTTGAATCCTTAATACAAATCCTGTGGTTTGTATTATTTCCTTAGCTCTGTGTTTGAGAGCACTGATACACAGAATTGGAGGAGTTTCTGGGCTCCAGTGGAACTTTGAGAGAATTTGCTCCTTTACTGTAGGAACAAAAGAAGGCAGTAGGATATAGTACAAGGAACACCAGGCTTGGTGGCACACACCTGTAATCCCAGCATTCAGGAGG